CATATTAAGTGAGAAAGAATTTATTATGAGAGATAAGAGGGTTAAAATATAACTATTAGATTAATCAAGTGAGAGAAAATTAATCTAAGGGTTATATTTTAACCCTCTCATCTCTCATAATAAATTTCCTCTCACTTAATATGCTCCCTATATATATATATATATATATATATATATATATATTAGGAATATCACTTCTTCAGTTCATGTCAAGATCATATTATTAGTATTTATACTACTTTTATTATTAATTAATTTAGTATAGTATCTTATAGTTAAAATATGTTTATTCTTAATAGTTCAAAAATTGTTTGAAGAAAAAAATTTAAGGATCTAATTTTTCTATTACTTTAATTAATTTTACAATAAGTCGTCCTAAATTCATATGAGCCATCACATGTAACATGTCAATAAGTCACATTAAAATTAATGTTTAGCATCATCAATTAACGACAACTAAATATCAATGGATACATGATATTAAAAGTTAGAAACTAAAATTATGTAATTAAGAATACGTCCACAAAAATTACATATAAAAAATTATAAACCTAGCCTAAAATTAATTTATTGAAATATAGAATTATAAGGTTTCCTAAATTAAATATCGTGTAAATGATTGGTCCACATGAAAGCATTCCAACACAAGACTACTGCTTGGACTCTAGAGAATTTACTCTAGCACTAGTTTCCTAGTTGGATCTAAAGCTGAGTTGTCGGCAAAGACACAGTGAGACTACTCTCACTCAACTCAAACAACACAAACACACTTGTTATGGCCACACTACTTCCTCTCCTCTTTTTTGCAAGAGTTTCAGGCCTTGCTGTGGCAGTACTTGTCCTCTTCTGGGCCCTTTCTTTCAAATCTAGCTTTCTCACTCCCTCACTTTCCCAACAAGACCTCATCTATGCAGTAACTACCAACTACATTGCCCTCCCTCTTCTCCCTTTCTACATTATTCAACTAACTTCCTCTTTCTCTAATTGTAGGTTCTCCATCCTCTCCTCATGGTCATTGGCTTTATCCTCTTGAGTGGAGAAGGTACCTTATCTTAGCTTAGCTCTATTTTTTTCCTTTTCTTTTATCTTATCCTCTTGTGCAGCAATTTTGGTGCACAGATGGTTACCTGGGTCAAGGGGTTTGAAGAAATTGGTGCATTTGTGGCTTCAAGGGGTGGCTTTAACTTGTGGGATCTTTGGGATTTGGACTAAGTTCCAGGGAAAGGATGGGATTGTGGCTAATTTCTTTAGCTTGCACTCATGGATGGGTTTGGTTTGTGTATCTCTCTTTGGAGCCCAGGTATTGCTTCTTCATTCAGATAACTTAGAGAAGTTAATTAATTTTGGTACATTATTTTCTTACTTATTATCCAATAATGTTTTTGATAGATGAATTTGAGTTGGCACGAGTCCTTACTCAAGTTAAATTTCCGAAAACATTGTCCTAACTAGAAATATTTCTTAGTAAACAAAAAAAAATAAAATAATGATGTCTTTGAAAGGCTTACTCAATGGGACAAAATACCTTTAAAAATATAAAAAGGATAAAAGTTAAAGATTTTGGTTAAACTTGTTGGTTTAGTTTTTGACATAATTTTAGCATTTTTGCCTCTGTTGTGATAATTTTATGATGTCACTGTCCTTGGCACTAAATGGGTGCTAACATAGTGGATGATTGATGATGCCATGGTGGTCCTACACTACTCTTCTTTTCGGAAGAAAGGAAGACACGTTGCGTTTCAAACATTTTTTTTGTTTATTCGATACAAATTCATTAGATGCAGTTTATCTTTCACAAGATAGAAGACACAGAAGAGAAACTTTTCTTGGAAATATTAGTTTTTTTTTTTTTTTTTTAATGTTTGATATCTATTTTTAAAAAATAAGATTCATAGAGAATATTATTTTCTGAAAATTATTTTGATCTTATTTTTCTATTAGAGAATATTATTTTCTGAAATTATTTTTATCTTATTTTTCTATAAAAAAAATAAGATTCATAGAGAATATTATTTTTTGAAAATTATTTTTATTTTATTTTTTTTATAAAAACATTCTTACGAGAGAAGTCGAAAATCCATTTGTTAGTCGAAAATTATTTTTATCTTATTTTTCTACAAAAAAAAAAAAAAGATTCATAGAGAATAGTGTTTTCTGAAAATTATTTTTGTCTTATAGTATTTATTAATATTTTTTATTTTTATTTATTTTTAAATGAGATGAAATAAGATATTTTTATCCTTCTTAATTACAAGATAATATTTTTTTATTAAATTTTGTGTTTAAATAAATTTATTTATAAATTTTCAACTTTTTAAAATAGTTTAAATTTTATCAATTGTAAATATTATTATATAAATATTTATATATATATATAATTACTTTTTATTATCCTCAAAAAGTAATTAAATCATAAAAAATTTTAATGTTATATTTATAATAAAATTTATGTAAATAAAAATATATAATAAATAACTAAATAAATTTTAACTATCATGAAAAGTGATTATCAAGATTTGTAACTATCGATGAAAATACCTATCCTCTTCCTTATAGGAAAAATAAATTCATTGGAAGACATCTCATAGAAAATATTTAAAATTGTTAAAGTTAAGAAAATATTTTTTATTTTTATTTATTTTTATTATAAATGAAAAGGCATCTTGTTTTTATTTTGTTTTTAGTTTTTGAAAAATATATAAATATAGTGAAATAATAAAAATATTTTTATTAGATTCTTATACAATTTTTATAAAATAAAAATGAGGTGAAATTTTTCATAACTAAAAACAAAGACAGAAAATATATTTAATATATAACGAATTATAATTTGATACTACTTCATGAATTAAATACTTTTTATTCAAATATACTTACTTCGATAATAATAACTAATAAGTGTATTAATTTTAATTATAATCTATAATAATATATAAAAGTGATAAATTCTCTGATTTGCATATTTTTTATGATGTTTTTGTCCATATAATTTGTAATTTTTCTTTTATTTTTATTTTTATTATTTTTTCAGAGAAAGTAGAGACGACTATTAAAAAGTTGTGGAAGAAAGTGAAATTAATTCAAGAAAGTTTTTTTTTTTATAAAATGAAAATGTTCAAAGTGCTTATTTTATTTTAAAATGATTCTAAATTTGATTTTTAAATGGTTAAAAATGTTGAATCTTTTATAATTGTATAATTTAATAATTTATAATTAAACGGATAACAATGAAATAAAGTTCCTATCTTCCGTTGGGTGTAACGTGCAAGTAACGGATAATTTTAAGAAATACATGCACGTGCACTTCTAGAAATATGTCGGCCGAAAGTTGTTGGAATGAAATGAAATTTTATTACCGGTATTGCCTAAAAGTCCCACATTGCTTAGGAGTCGAGGCTAAGAGTAATTTATAAACACTCTTCCTCCTTAACTCACCAAGATACCTTTTCAAGGATAACGTCAAAGCAAACAATACCTCGGATGTGGTCATCCTAACAATGACAACGAACTTATTATAGTAACAATTACATTTCCCAGATGGGCTGAAAAGCCCAATCTATTGCTCCTCTTTATTGATTTTTGGCTAATGATATATATACTTCTTTTTATTTTTTTTTTAATTTTAAAATATTCATAATATTTTTTATGCTTGCATTACTTCTTTGTGTAAAATATTTTGACACGTACATTTAAATATGCCCTATGATCTGATCCATTTTATTTGATGCATGGCCACACAGTGGTTGATTGGCTTCTTGAACTTTTGGCACAGAGGAGAGGTTCGCACTGTGAGGATAAGGATCTTACCATGGCATGTGTTCCTTGGCCTATACACTTATGCATTGGCAATAGCAACAGCAGAAACTGGATTGCTAGAGAAATTAACATTCTTGCAAACAAAGAGAAATGTAGCCAAACACAGCACTGAGTCCATGGTGGTTAATAGTTTAGGCTTGGTTCTTGCCCTTCTCAGTGGCTTTGTTATTTTGGCTGCTGTTTCACCTAAGTATCATACAATTCAAAACAAACTTTTGTACTCAGATACCAAGTGTTTGTCATCTTAATGAAACGTGGTAGTAAAACTTCAAATGTAACATATTTTGTCTTTTGTGATCCTTAATTAAGTTTGCATGTGTACATTTGAGTTAGATGTGAAGCAGTTTGGGTTTGTTGGTGCAAACTGCAAAATGTAAGAGGTTTTTAGGTTAAGGAGTGTAGAAGAGTAATAGTTGAATGATCGATTATTTGAGCACTGGTCATAGTTGAGAACATGACAAGTAGAACCTTCAGGAATATGAAGTAGAGGGAGGGAAAGCATAATCTTGATTTTATGCCTAAAATATAAGAGATAGGGCTTATGGAAACAGGTAAGCAATTTTAACTACTTTTAGACCTTTTAAATATGGGAAAATATGTTTTAATCAAGGCTAATGACTAAGATCAAATTACTTTATCTTTTATTAGTTTAAAAAAAGTATTTTGTGGTTATATATTTTATTTAAAAATTTATTAAAAATAATAAATAAAATTAGGATTAAGTAATAAATGAGTAGTTAACAATTTGAAGATATGAGTAGTTGCACATGGTTGACTTATGTGAGTGGTGACCGGTGAGAATAAAAATAAATTATAATATTATTTTTATTATTTAAAGATTTAAGGGTAAAATCATCTGAAAAAGATGGAGATGAAAAATGGTTATAAATAAATTTATCCCTTTCATATATAGTGTACTTCTAACTTGGACAAATTGAATCGAGCTTACAATGAGTTTGGACTAGCCAAACAGTCTAGTCGACTCACCATATTAAATTCAAAACACAATTAATAGTAGGAATTCCCATATCATATCTCCCATAATCTGGGCAATACGTCAATGGTTCATTGAATACCATGCCCAATCACAAGAGCGTATCAATAAATATCATGGATGATTATCTCCTAAAATTAGACAACAGTATAAACCATTTATACAAGGGTATCATGTATCATTCTAATCTAATATGATTCTTAACCTAAACTCCTCTCTAACTTGAATGTTGAAGTATCTTTGTAAGTGTCCCTTATTGTGTAGATATTGGAATGACGAGGATGTCATCCTACCATCGAAGCACTTGCAAATTTCAATAAGAACATTTGGTGCCCATCGTGAGGTTGAAGTGAAACTATCCACTAGTCACACATGATTTCCATTCGAAATGACGATGAATAACAACACGGTTGAAATCTCCTTAACAAACGACAATGTGGGCCCTATCCCACGGCAATGCAGGCCCTATCCCTAAACAATCGCCCCATGCCTTCGTAGTCACCGCAACCCTGCTCACGGAGCTCATGATGACCATTGCCACCATAGACCCATCTATCCTGCCACCTTATGCCGAATTACTGCAATGCATGAAGACCATGCAAAAACATAATGAAGAGGTTTTAACTGCCCTCCACCAATAACTTAAGGTTGATCCACGTACTATAAAGCTGATCGTACTTGTTACGAGCAAGAACTATAGGCCCTATGCAAAGAAAATAACAACACGCACTCAGAAACCAACATCTTCACAAAAAAAAGAATACATTTCCTTTAGATCATCCCAAGACACACATTGCACAAAAATCCCAGCTCAACAAGGAGATCCATCCCCTTCTCAGATCCCACCAAGACGACTTAATAGTGAACATTGTGGTCATCCCTTTATCGACATCGTAGTTGACACACCACTTGCTAGATGCTGGAAACACCTTGTCATGAAAGAATATGATGACTTAACTTGTTTGAATGAACACTTGGCCATGTAGGAAACTAGAATGCACCTCCACACCTCTCTTTGTGGTTGTGAACAAAAATCAAACAACTCAATGACCCTTTTCCCAATGGCTCCTACATAGGTTTCCCACGCCCCATCCCCTAAGCAAGTCGCCACATCACCAAGGTTGGCCCTCTAAAACAACCACCCTTGAGGAAGCACAAAGCCTTTCCTATTATTAATAATATCAACAAGACCAGACCCCTCATCCAACACCACCATAATTAGCTCAAGCGCATCACCAGTTGTCTTCCCCTTAACAATGATTGTCCATTCGACCTCCCAAACATTCATGGTTACAAGCTTAGTTCCCACATTCATTGTAGTCCCCTCAATCACTTGCCTTTGACCCAATCTCTTCACCTTTGGTTTATTCGCAAGTGGAGATTTTGCTCACCGCAAATACTCAACAACTGACTTACTTGCCCTAGTTGAGTTAGAATTTTTCGACGACTGTGATGTTAGATGAGCAATAGTCCTCAACACAACAATAATTTTTGCTTCCTAACTAAGGGCATCACCACCTTCTCCTCGACCACAAGTAATGGCCTTGTTCATCGCTATCAACATTAAACTTGGTTTTCAACTACTTCCACATGCTTTTCCTTATCAACCCTATGCATAAACAAACAATGTATCAACATACAACACAAAAACCAACGATGGTGAAATGAAACCAAGTAAAACACTTGACACAACCACACTTACCCTCCAAAGCTTGGTCCAAATTGATAATGCCCATTAACCTTGGTCTTTGTAGTCCCCATTTTTCCTTCACCACTAAATCTATCAAGATTCTCCCTCCAATAATAAGGAAACTTAGCTGCCCCTATTTGGGCTTTGAAACACAATGTTCCTCCTCTTATGGCCCATAGTCACCTCTATGTAAACATAATCGCTCTTGAACCCTTGAACAATTGGGAAAACAGGCTAAACAAACCTCTCCTATTTCACATGTTCAATGAAATCCAACCTATAGGTAAACCTACCTTCATTTGATAAAAGAACATGAACTTGGACAAAATTAGCTCTATCCCAATGTATGTGCACACCACTTTAAAGGCTCTTAAAAACGCCCAATTGTTTGGATGAAGCTGGCTTAGAGCAACATTTGCTCACCTTAAAAATGAACATTCCAAATCACTAAATGGTAGTGTAACCTCAATATCTTGAAGAACACAAGTGTACATATACATGAATGGGCAAGGGTACATTTCCTTGTCTAGGTACACACAATCACCCTCAACATAGGGATGAATCGCGAACAAATGAGAGTCACATGACGTGAACAAAGCATAACTATCAAGTAAAGAGACCATTGTCTCCTCCATATCCAACCAACTCTCGTACCAATCTACCTCAGTATTCACCCATTTGTAGCCCTTTCTGTCTAGAGGACCTTTACCCTTATCGTTGCCCATTTCCTTTAACTGTGAATTCACAACTTCTTTAACTCTAATCAAAATAGACTTTACCATTACCACCTGATGAACCATGCCAATAGTAACCACCCTTGCACCACCCACACTAGATGTTCCCCCACAAATGGTGATGACATCACTCTCAATAGGCAACCTCATCACAATATCAAAGAAGTTGCTATCCCTTGAAAAAAATACCAAACACCACTTCCTTGTTCATGCACACTTGAATGCAACACAAATAAAAAAACTTAAAGATAACGAGAGGGAATGAAATTGCCTAAAGCGACAATAACAAACTAGGACAACAACTACGACCTCAAGAATGATTGCAAACAATAGACAAGTGAAACACGAAGCAACACTAGTGAGAAATGAACAAACCTTCAAAACCACTCTTATAAAATCATAGTCACTAAACCTCTCTCTCTCCTTAGATCAAAGGTTCACATTCAAATCTAGCATGTAATGAGCGACCTAGATTCACCCACAACAACAATAATCATTACTCATTAAAGCACACGAGAAACTATTACAAGCGTGCGTTATACGCCAACAACTAACTCACTTGAACTGCAAACTAATAGTTCCTTCACTCTTGCAAAGCTCAAAATTGGGGGGTTTATGTACCTCCCAACTCGGATGAATCGAGTCAAGCTTACAACTAGTTTGGATTGACTGAACAACCCAATTAACTCGCCACATTAAATCTAGAACATAATTGATAGGAAGAATCCTCATATCATATCTCCTAAAATCTTGGGCAATATGTCAATGATTCATTGAATACCATGTGCAATCACATGAGTGTATTAACAAATATCATTCAAAATTATTTCCTAAAATTAGACAACACTATCAACCACTTATATAGGGGTATCCGGTATCATTCTAATATAATCTGATTCTTAAGCTAAACTCTTTTTTAACTTGAGCGTCAAAGTATGTAAATGTCCCTTACTACACAAATATTGAAACAACAAGGACGTCATCCTATTGTCGGAGCACTTATAAATTTCGATAACAGCAAATGGGTATTTGTCCTTTTACAACTCTTTTCACATCATTTTTACAAGATTTCCTTTATCATATTTTATTAAATTAAAAAACATAAAAAAATAAAATTAATATAAGTCTGTTAGGTAACTTTTTTGGAGGGAACTAGAAACTCAATTAAAGAATAAAGTCTCTTCGATGAATCAATCATATATTTTAGAAATCAATCAATATTATATGACAAATAATTAGATATTGTTTATGTTTATGTTAAAAATAAATGATGACATGAAAAAAAAATATTTTGATGCATGAAAAAAAAATATACATAAGAACATGTGGTTGAGTTGATCATCCAGTTATGTTAGATTTTATATAGTAATTATGCTTTTTAACACCATATAGTAATTATGTTAGAATGTTCAAATCATAATTAATTACTGTAGTTAAATATTTCAGATTAAAAAATTCTTCTTCATCACTATTACTATAATTATATATTTTAAGAATTAAAAGTAAAATAAAAAAATCTCCTTCATCACTATTACTATAATTCTCCTTCATCACTATTACTACCCCTGCATATCTACTTCGTAAATTTTTTTAAATCACTTTTTTAATTTTAAAAATGGCCCCAAGTATCATTTCCCTTAACTAAAGTTATCAAAATCATATAATAAAGAGCATTAACATCGACAATTAAATTCTTTATTAATTATAGTTAAGTACATTAATTTTATTAAATCCAACAACTATTACAATTTTTACGCTAAATATTATACATTAATTCGAAATATCCTAAACAAATATTATCAGTTAATTTGACATATTTAAAGACATTATATGGCAATTTAAATTTATATAATAAAATATTAACGAAAATTCTAACATGAAATAGTATGAAATGTGGTACATGGATGAAACACTATTTTTAATAATTAAATTTAATAATATAATAATTAATTGTTCAAATTTGTTACCTGTAACTTGGAAAAGAAAATTTTTGTATTTTACATATTAGTCCTTGTGTAAAAATACAGAATTTGAGAGGGTTGCTGTTTTGGCCACCGACGGGTGGTGAGGATGAGGAAGACGATGGCGGCGAGACAGTCAAGGGCAAGTCAGGGGCAGGGAGGGTCGGATTTGGAAGTGGCGAGATTTTGGTCGTAGTGGATGTAGTTGACAACAGAGAAGATGAAGGAGAGGCTTGTGAGAGTTGAATGCCATGGACGACGAGGAGGGGGAGGTAGCGGCAAAGGAGGGACATGAGGTCGATGGCGCCGAGGAGGAACCTGCGCCTCCGCTACCACCAAGCAAACAAAGTTGCACTTCCACTGCCATTGCTTGAAGGAGACCGCGCCTCCGTTGCCACCGCGCGAACAAAGTCGCGCTTCTGCAGCCACCGCTTGAAGGAGTCACCTCGTGAACGAAGCTGCGCTTTCGCTGTCATCGCTTAAAGGAGCCCGCGACTCTACTGCCACCGCCCGAAGGAGCCGCACCTCCACTGCCACCACCGTGGAAGGAGACAGTACCTCCGCTGTCACCGTGTCTCCACCACCACGCCTCCATCGTACCTCTGCATATAATATAAAAACTATTTTACAAATATAAACAAGTTGAAAAATTTATTATTACCGGTAACTTTAGTGCCTTATGAATGAGGCATCGACTTAACTACTTCATGTTATAAGCATTCAAATATTAAATAGTTATGAAGAATTATTATTAGAATATTAAATAGTTATGAAGAATTAATATTAGAGTAAGTGAAAGACGCATCGGATGGTGTGTGGGTTCGCTAGCGGCGCTGTGACGCAGTGGTGAGTGGTTAGTGGTTACACTCTCACTCCCAACGCATTGCGCATCTTCCTCAAAAGTCAAAAGTCAACCAAACCCTAATTCCCCAAAATGTGGTCTGCAATAACCTCTATCACCCCTCCGCTCTT